CACGCACGTACACGCGTACGGTATTGGTAGCGTAAAACGTAGAAAAACCCCTCCGCCAACAGTAATTTACGAATTTGTCGAGTCCGAATTTGCTACGCTCTACTATAGAGTCAAGTGTTTTGCGAGGGAATTTACCGGGGTGGCGACGGGCGCACGAACCCGATCTGGTGTAATGATCGCCAATGGTCATTGAACCCGCGAATGAATTTTCCAAGCTACAAATTCGTTGAATTGCGAAATAATTGTTTCATTGTTTTAAACGTGAACCAATGACCCCGTTCTAGAAAATTTAATTTTATAATTCTCTTTATTATATTATAATTCTCTTTTTCTATTTAAATTTATTCTATCTTAATTTCCATGATCCGTTTCTTCGTTTGTGGAATATTATTTGTGTAAAAATATTTCCCTGCGCTGTTAACACGTACGTTTTGCGTACGTCTCGTACATATCATCGAATATTACGGGCGAGTCATCTTCGAGAGGAATAATCCGTAGAAATTCCGTATGCGCGGTGTACGTGTGTACAATCGTACGCGCGGCAGTTAAAAAAAGATGCGCGTATGCATTACACACCTGTAAACCCGGCTGTACAGCCTACCCTTCATTACCGAAGTTCTCATTGCGTGGTGCAAACGTAGAATTTCCCTGCAAAATTCATACTGCTAAGTACGTAACCGTGCGCAGGGGTGCGAGCCCTAGCAAGATAAAATTGCTCCCGCGGGGCCGGCGGACGGAGGCAAAAATTTGAGACTATTCTGGGAATGCAATCTCAAAATGTGGAGCTAAAAATGCGCCCTCGCAATTTCACACATATTACCGCAAGAATGCCACCGCCGTGGGGTGTAGGGCGAGGACGGGGTTGTCGGCGGTCAGGGGGGAGAACACATGCGTTTTTACATTCCCCCGTCGCTACTAAGCGTAATGCAGCTCGTAAAAAGTCGCGATCTTTTCCTCTTAATACCCGTGGTTTTTTCATTCGCGCGTTACGGGCGACGCGACGGGGTGGTGTCAGGTGCGCGAGTCGTATACCGATGGGCATCACCGATCTTCGAATTTCAGATTAAAATTCTTGGTCCAGATACTATGCATAAAGAGGGGGGGGGGGGAGAGCGCGTTTCATTGTTGAATAAATCGATATTCGGTTTTATACATAATAGAATACAGCATAAAAATGGAAGTGGATACTCGCTTGCCTGGATTTGTGTGCATAACCGTGTTGTAGTAACGTTTTAATGCACTTTCACGGCCGCGTGATTTAAACCGGTACTTCGTGCACTTTTGCGAACCTTGGAAAATTCCTTAGTGCATATCATATAATCTTTTAATCTTAAAGACTGATTTAATGTCTTATTTGTGCCTTAATATTTTAACGATTTAATTTCGATAATGATAACAATCCATGGAATCCCGTACGATCCACTTGTTGTGTAAAAATGGGAAATTTATGTATTGTATATCGGTGTTGTGCGCGGAAGATTATCGAAGAAAAATAACAATGTAAAAGGGAGGCATACAAAAGAATTTTAAGTTTAATCACAGGCGGGGCACCGCCTTCTCGAAGTTTTCTATTAAGGAATGCTCGTTGTAACGACTTGGAAAGTTTGGGTTCCGGACGCAGTTACGTCTTCAGATATTTTTATTTCCGCCGGAGGGAACCGTGTCTCATCAACTACGCTGTCTAACAACGAAGACGGGAGTAACATCCCGAATGAACATCTCATTGCCGGTATGGCAACATGATCATGCTGAAAAGAGTTTGCCATTGCCTAATGACTATTATTTTTAGATTCGTATAACTTTCAATAAGTCAAGATATGAGTAATAACTACTAACTGCTGTTATGAAACTAATAGGACTTTTAATTATATAACGTACTGCAGTTTTTTAATTGTGATCGAAACTTATGTATAAAAATAATAAAAATCCATGAAATTATAAAAATACTATATCATAAATTATAAAAACTATAGAAAATTCTTAAATTGGTGCTAAATTGACTAATATTGTCATTTTTAAATTGTCTTTTTTAATTTCTATCTTTATTTAAATATATTTTTTATTACAGCAATTAAACTTATTTAAATTCATAATCCATTAATACATTTAAAAAACTCTTCGTCTCTCTTCTCTCTCTCTCTCTCTCTTTCTCAATTAAAAACTGCCGCGCAATCAATTTTTTATTTAATGTAAATTGGATGAAGGTAAATAATTGCTATTGCACTTTGCATTTTTATGATAGTTTAACGATTTACATGAGATATTTTTTTCTATCTATTTTTGTATCGAAATTGTTAAATTCTAATATAGATACGATGAATACGATAAAACCTTTTATAGTGTGGGCGTGCGTATGTGTGTATACCAAAATCGCCGACAGGCAACAATAACGCAATTTCCGTAGATCCACGGAAACGTTTTCGTTGAAATGTTTGAATAGATCACAGCGGTGGTATTTGTGCAGAACAATGATAGAACGAAGTACAATATTGTTGAAAATCTAAATTAATTGTGCTTTTTGCTATTTAATACCGATATTGTTTGCTCAGAATCTGTTTCTAGCTAACGTACATATTTTGTAGAACTGTTATTTCCATAATCAATCGTGTGTAACCCGTTGTGTAATCAATTATCGCATTTGTTATGAAATGTAAGTACGCATCTCTGTTATGAGTACCTATTCTTTTCGGATGAATACGTATATAATAAATCAACGTATAATTTTGTAGTAGATATCGCATAATAATCAGTAATTTTGTTAAAAAGTGATTTAATTATATTTAATACATTGATTTTATCGGTGATTTGAGAATGTTTATTTTTTATCAGTTTACAGAAATACAAATTTTACGTAAGGTAAAATATGATTTTTTTCAATAATCTTGAACAGATACTGAAAGCGAAATTTATTATTTCGTTATATAATTATGTTAGTATATTATATTTTATATCAGTATTTTAGTTGCAGCGATTGATCGAAATATTGGAGAAACTTCGAAAATGTAATGTCAGGAAATAGTTAACGTTTTAGAGGAAAGACAAGTAGTGTTTCGAATAGTATCCGAGAGCTGCCAGATCAATTTCGTCCGATGTTACGCAAATTGTCCTGATCCTGGCGACGTCCTCATATTAATCATAGAAGCCACCCTCCTTTACGGGGTGAGCAGCCGTTCCTCCAACCTCGAAATTTGCTTTCTCTCCCTCGGATTCTCGATCCGCCCTCCCGCCTCAGGTTTCGTCCGTCTCCTCTTCCAGTCCATATATTCTCCTTCATCTAGCGAGCCGCATGATATGTTTAACGTTGAATGTAATTTGAAAGATAACCCGTCTGCGCAGCTTGCTTGCCCTTTTGGCGTCTAGAAATTATGATCTTGGAAACTTTCGAATTGGAGGCGTCGTTGCGATCTATGGATTGCACAAAATACAACGCGCCGATATATTATTTACACCCAAGATAACGAAACTTTCGAAGTTTACGGCATAATCCTCGATGTTATTCGGTCCTGTCCTCTTTCGATCACACGCAATAAAAAAGGTTTTACAGAAGTTCGTGACACGTTTAAATTCTGCATTGAATCTTCAGAAAATAGCAAATCGGTACAGTAACATTAATTTTGTTTTCCATCAGTTTATCGTTAAGATTTTTGTAAATCCGTATTTTGTATTTTTTTGATGGAGTATTCGGATCGATTTGCATTCTTAAGATATTATTGATTTTACTATGCAGTCAGTCGAGATCGCCGCAATTCACCGTATAATCGCGAAAAACTTTTTACGAATGCATATGCACGATATATAGCAATTCGCTTGGCTTCTATTATATACGCAATGCTCTTCTTTCTTTCTTTATGTTTATATGCATAAAAGCTGCAATCTATTTTGCTTATACCTTATACATGGTGTGTAAAATTTGACCAGTTCAATAATAACTCATGGCAGTGCGAATAATCCAATTTTTGCAATATATCGATTTTATTTGTAAATAATACATCTACGGATTATCAAAGTGCAAATCGGCTCTATAAATTTAATCTTTCAGTTAAATTATCGAATGAGACGCCACGGTGAAAATATATTTTCGCGCAATATGGTCGAAAAGTATAATTGCGAGTGTATATAGTACAGTTACAGGTTATTTCCATCCAGGAACAACATAAAAAAGTTTTCTTTACAATTTAGCATGTAAAAGTTTCCTTATTCGGTACTGACATTCATATATATTTCTGAGTAATACCTGTGAATTTTTTGACGTTGATTGCTTCAGACATTTATGTGATTCCGTGATTTACGTTTTGCGACTTAACTTTTTAAGCTTACATGTCCGAAGTGTTCTCAAAGCGAACACTAATATTTTATCAAGTTTGGTACTTGCTGCCGAGAGCAGTATCTACGCAATATCGGTGCCAGCCTGGAGGTACGGGACTCTGCCACGCTAGAACGGCCGTATAATCCCCGATGCGGTATACGGTGGCTGCGTTTACAGTCAAGTGCGTCCGCTTACTCACGATCGTATCTATGCTCTAACTTTAGGCGTTACGTTCGCGCAAACCCCTATCACGTCTGTGCCTGGACATCCAATAGCCAGGAGTTCCTAATACGGACCGACCTAACATGGCAACACTTCCGTGAGATTCTCTCGTGGCGATAAGAATCCGGTCAATTTTGCGCATTTTTACGAACACTATTATAAATCTAACTCGTGCATTTGAGTAAATCACTTTTTGTTACGGATTTGGTCGAAAAATCATCGTGGGAGATGATAATTTTATTTTTTATAATTTTATCATCTCCCACAATAATTTTTCGATCAAATGCGTAACGAAAGGTGATAAAATTTTATAATATTCCCCCATGATGATTCTCCCACGATGATTTTTCGACCACATCCGTAACGAAAAATGATTTACTCAAATGCACGAGTTACGCGCGATTTCTGTCAGAACAAACAAAACAATCAATAATTAAGTCAGTTATTAAATGTTGTGATTTATCTTTTACAGAAATTGATAGCGCGACAGCCAGCGGAAATGGCGTGGTAATGTCCTACCTACGCCAAATAATGATCTTTGAAGAAGGAAACGGTGCGTGGACCGCATCTCTTTCGGTGAGTCTTTTTCTTTACGATATCAAACGAGACATAAATGTGGAGATCTGGTAGACCCGAGGCAATTATTTTTAATATACTTTAGATTTATAGCGGGAAAGGGTTACAGGCGAGGCGAGGATCTCGTTTCGCCTCCCTTTCCGTTTCTCGCGTTCTGACTTTTATCGGTTTTTTTTGTTCACAAAGTATACAAGCGCAACTAGTTATCTCCACCCTTTCCGCCGTTTCCTGCGGGCACACGAATGGAAAAACTGCTTCGTGACAGCGCGGGCAGGCAGTGATTCGTCACTCGCCGAGTAGCCAGACTCTCTCGTCCAGTGATTTCAGTTTGGAAATTATTTCGACATTTTGCCGTTTGCCGGTAGCGGTTCTTTTGTACTTAGCTATTGACCCTTTGTCAAGGAATTTAGCTTTTTTTATTAAACGCTCGGAAAATAACGTTTTTAATTACGATCGAAATAATGCTGGAACAAATTGTTAATATGTTCACTTCTCGTTATTATTTCAAACACGGAAACGAAGGATATAACCTCGTTTAATGGCAGTAATTTTTCCAATCTACGAAGCAGTTACGTGAACAATTTTTGTATCATTATTGAGCGGGGAACGATCATATTTTACTATTTTACACGTGATAATATTAAAATGTGAATGTGTGTTTTTTAATTCGCTAACGAATAAGTAATAAATCATGTGATCGTGTCCGGGTGAATAAATTTTAAATAATACTTAATGGCACCTTTTATGGCATTCAATTAAGTTTGAAATTTATTGAAACAAAGTATCTTTTAAAATTTGTTTATAATGTGAAAATTCATTTCATACAAAAAACAATATATTCTATACGATTTACTTTTACAGAATTATAAAATTATTTCAACATTAGAATAGAAATTAAATTAAAATTAAAATTAAACTAAATTTTTTACTTAATACAACTACATCATAAATTATAAATGTATATGATAAATAGATTTATGAACTTTGTTGGCAACATGGTTCATATGTAAAAATCTAATGCAATTCATTATTACGTGGCATAGTATGTTATTTTTTTAAATGCTTATTGAGAATACCGTTAATTTAATTTGTTGGGGAGCTTTTTCCCCATGCAACACGTTCTGAGTCTCATCGTGGATATTAAAATCTATAGTCTATTTATTAAACTACCTCGAATGAGAAAAAATAAATAATTTAATCTCCCTCCATAGGTATTCTATCTGCGATAATAAGAACTTTTATTTTCAAATGTCATATCTCGTTATATTGCGCATTGTCATCCGGTGGTGCATAATGAAATTCTTCAGGTGTAAACGAACGTCAATCGAGTAGGAATATTAACTCGACGAAATCGCGTTGTTTACAAACGAAATATGAATTGAATTTTACAAGAGAAATAATGAGGAAGATACATACCTTTGATTGTACTGACTGAACGCATTGAGCCGTTAATAAAATGCAGACTCAGACTTCTCGATATTAATTCATTGCCTTTTACTTTTGCTGACGTATCCAATATTTAATACGTGTGAACAAACATGAATATTAAGAGGAAAATTAAATTTCTATATTGAAAGTAATGTAAGTATCATCTTTTTGATTTGAACAATCATAGCGAATCCGTAGCATTTTCTAAAACAATATTTACATATATGTATGTAAATAAGAAGTCTCTAGTTTTCAGAATGCGATCAAAAATTAGGATCCTTTATAATCTTGAATATAATAATTTTCAAAATAAAATCGCAAGCTATATAATGGTATTTGTACACCGGCAAATTATGATTACGATACGCGATTTTTTTATGCGATCTGCACACCCGTTTACCATCACGTCGATTTTCCCTACCTGCCATGAGCTGACGCACCACGAAGTCGTCGTGAATAGAAGCCGTCGCACTTAGACCCTACGATCGTAATCTCTCACCTCGCTTTTACTGCCGCAATGAAAAGAATAGCGATCGTTTCTTCGCGCTTCGCCGTCGCTGTCGCCGCCGGTTGGCTGGCTTCGTTGCGAAGGGAATCCGCGGAGAGAGAACGATAGGGCGCGCAAGGCGGGAAGGCCCAGAAGCCCTTCGTGATTTCCTATTAGCACAGATATTGCTTCACGAAGGACGAAAGTAATAATTTATCCGGGCGTGGACTCGCGCAGGGGTCGCGCTTCCTTTCTCGCCCCTTTTCTTGCTCGCTTTCTCTCTCTTTCTCTCTCCCTCGCTCTATTCATCCCTCGCGTGCTTCGCCCCTCCCGTTCCCTCTTTCTCTTTCGCGGTGCTGCTAACCGCCTCTGAGCTTAACCTACCACCACCACGTCCGCTTGGTTCATTGTAGCGCAAAAATAAGTGAGTGTATGATGCACGAGCGCAAGGGGAATTATATGCCCTGTAAGTGGAAAAGGAAAAAGGGGGGTTGCCACGGACTGCTCTCCAGGGGAAGTAGAGGGAGAAGGTTAGCTGAATACTTTACCGCGGCGACGCACATACGACGGAGAACATGAATTTGCTCGTTTTCCTGATAGTCCCTCTCGCTTCAACATCTCTCATTCGGCTGTCTCTTCCACGTACTTCTTCTGCGTTTTTATTTTCTTGGTTCTCTCTCTCTCTCTCTCTTTCTCTAATCCACCTTTCTTTGCCCGTATCTTTCTTTTTTTTCTTTCGCCGGTGCACCCCTTCGGCCGCGTGCGGACGAAAAAGCTCGTGCAGAACGGACGGACGGAGTTAATCCTTCGCGCGCGAAAAGCAAAAGGCGGACCGCCGTCTCTTGAGCTTCACGGGGCTTTGGCGATTATGCCAGTAAAAAGAGGACTGCTTAGGCAGAGCTCCTGCAAGCGATTGTTAAATATCCGAACATGAAAGTATAGTAGGAACAGTGAAATAATTTTGCGCGATAGCGTCGGAAACGTCGGCGTTTTGATGAAGAACTTTGATGCTATCCAGCTGAATTTCTCGTAATTAGTGTTCATTTAAACTTTATTTGAATCTTCCTAAAGGATGCCAGATCGATATTAAAATTATTATAATTTATGTTTTTTTTTGTTTTTACAGTTGCAAAATAATTCAATTTCTTAGAATTGTTTCTACAAATGTACCTTTGTCTATCAATTATTTTGAGCTCATTCGTCAGACGTTTACAATTCGACACTAAAATATCAAGAAAGTATCATGGAATTAGAAATATTATGGAATAAAACGACTTTTTTTTATTTACTTAACTTTCATCTCTACTAAGAAATCAACTAAAAGTGACTGTAATTTCAATTAGAATTGTCACGTTTTGTTTGAATTGTATATAAACTTTTCTCTATAATTAATGTTATGTATCAAGAGAATACTTTTAAAAATATTTTTAAAAGAATTAAAACATATTTAATAATGCAATTTTTATTACATGCAGAAAAATAATTTGTTATTGCAATTATTTAGTAGAACTACAATCGTTTCTTTTTGTCGCTTCTAGAAATTACATGTTTGTTTGACAACGTTGCATATATCAAAGGAAACTAGGAAACAGTTCCACTTGGACAAGTACGCGTTATCTCGAGCGTATTTTCATTAGGAACAGCGCGAATTAATTAACATCTTCCTTGGCAATCGATGGATGTGTGCAACGCACACCTTGAAGAACAGCCTCGAATCCATAAGAAAGTTCGACTTGCCAGTTTCGCGTGCCTGACAAACTGCGATTCGCGCATTTCTTGAAATAACAGGTCGGCGAGGGGTCGCGATAATTATTATTATCTAGTTTGTCAAACGGTTGGGGCAGATGTCGTCGCTCCGTGTCTCGAAGATGCGTCGTCATGGATCTCGCCGGCTGCCTGAAGTGAGCCCAAGATGTAAATCCCATTAGCGAACTTGACGCGACTTCCTGGCCCGAGTGCCTCGACGCGATGCAAGGTATAGACGATGCGACACGGATGCGACGACGACGAAGACGACGACGACGACGACGACGACGACGACGACGACGACGACGACGACGATGAAGACGACGATGAAACGAACGACTGCGGTAGCAACGGCGAAAGCGACGGCAATGATGACAGCGCGACAGCGCTGGCAGAATATACAAGATAACGATTCGCTATGCGAAGTCGTTCGCTCCGACGTATGTAGATATGTGAAACAATATTTATGTTATAGTCGGCAATACAATTTCTGCGCGGACTTCTTGTATGAACAATACGCAACGCCAAGATACACCGTAGCCGCAGCAGAACGTGCCGAGTTTCGAAATGTTGGTAGGACAACAGTAACTGGATATTTCGGAAATTGAGAGAAATGGAACTGTCTGCGTGTGCGCGTTCGCGTAACTTCATTTCTGAATTCCCTGTATTTTCGAGGATTGTATATAGAAGGATTAAACGGGAACAATATTTTCGCGGATAAATAGCGGAGGTTATATTTTCAATGGGATGCGAATGATAATCAAAGCAAAGCCATTACTTTTCGCTACAAAGTTAAACGCGGTTCGCAAATTAAAGGAGCACTTCGCGGACGCGACGTGAACATCACGGGATTTATTATATCGTTAGAGCGTGAAAGCAGGGAATATTTCTCTCCCGGTACTGCCTAGGGGATGCGTCACCCCTCTGGCCGACACATCCCGGCCTTCCCCCTTTCATTTTATTACGAACGGACGAACGTGTCGTCGATCCTCCGCAGTTCTAAAATCGTGCAAATATATTACAGATAAAAGAGAGGAAAACCTGAAGAAAGAGAAATAATTATACTTTTATCATCACTTAAAAATTTTAATTGACAGAATATTTTTTTAGAAGGAATTAACGCAGAGATGTTAGAAATGCCGTTTGTTTGAATGAATTAAAATTTATTTATACTTAGTAAGAAGAAAAGTTATAATTAAATTTTAATTTTTTATCTTTGAAAGTATGGCAATCTGCTTCTAATTATGATTGAAAATGACGCAATATACGTAGTGCGACAAGAACTTGAAGAGTAGTGTAATAATATTCGTAATCGATTCTACATTTCCGAGGCGAGATAAACACGACAAGGGGATGCAATCTTACAACGCCGTAACTCGCTGTGCACATTACGTCGTCGTCGTATTTCCGTGGCACCGCGATGGATACGCGCACGCACGCACGCACATGTAACACACGTGTATCCGGTATGCGCGCGAGGGGGCGAATTTGCATGTCAATATCTTCCGAGAGAATAAATCCATACGTATGAGGGAAGAAGAGCTCCTTAAATTGG